CATCGCCTGCTTACCAAGGAAGACTGTCCTCCCGTAAAACAGAAGGTTCTCTGAATGCGCCCAGAGATGTCTGAGAAAATCAAGGCTGAGGTTATGAAACAGTTTGACGCCGATTTTCTAGCAGTGACTTCTTACCCTCAGTGGGTTGCCAATGTGGTTCCAGTACCGAAGAAGGATGGTAAGGTCCGAATGTGTGTTGACTACAGGGATTTGAATAGGGCAAGCCCTAAGGATGACTTCCCTCTACCTCACATCGATGTTCTGGTTGACAATACTGCTCAGCACAAGGTATTCTCCTTTATGGACGGTTTCTCCGGTTATAATCAGATAAAGATGGCTCCCGAAGACATGGAGAAGACCACTTTTGTTACTCAGTGGGGTACCTTTTTCTACAAGGTCATGCCTTTTGGGTTGAAAAATGTTGGGGCAACGTATCAACGTGCCATGGTTGCTTTATTTCATGACATGATCCACCATGAGATTGAAGTATACGTCGACGACATGATTGCAAGGTCCCAAACTGAGGAGGAACACCTTGACCATTTGCAGAAGCTATTTGACAGGCTAAAGTTGTACAAGTTGAGATTGAACCTAAACAAGTGCACCTTCGGGGTGAGGTCCGGTAAACTACTGGGTTTCGTCGTGAGCGACAAAGGTATTCAAGTGGACCCTGCCAAAGTAAAAGCCATACAAGAGATGCCAGCTCCCAAGACAGAGAAGGAGGTCAGAGGCTTTCTAGGACGACTGAACTACATTGCCCGATTCATCTCGCACCTAACTGCTACTTGTGAGCCAATCTTCAAGCTACTGAAGAAAGATCAAGTTGTACATTGGAACGATGAATGTCAGGCCGTTTTCGAAAGAATCAAAGAGTATCTCCAAGAGCCACCCATTCTGATGCCACCAGTTGAAGGGAGACCTCTGATCTTATATTTGACAGTACTTGACAACTCAATGGGGTGTGTGATGGGTCAGCATGACGAGTCTGGCCGAAAAGAGCATACTATTTACTACCTTAGCAAAAAGTTTACCGACTGTGAGACCCGATACTCACTGCTTGAGAAAACTTGTTGCGCTTTGGCATGGGCTGCTCGCCGGCTAAGACAGTATATGCTGACTCACACTACTCTATTGATTTCAAAAATGGATCCAATCAAGTATATCTTCGAAAATCCTGCCTTGTCCGGAAGAATAGCAAGATGGCAGATGATCTTGACTGAGTATGACATCCAGTACACGACTCAAAAGGCAATCAAGGGAAGTGTATTGGCAGACCATTTGGCACATCAGGCAGTGGATGATTACCAGTCTATGAACTTTGAATTTCCGGACGAGAATATCATGGTAGTGATTGATTGTGAGACACCTGGATCGGATGAAGGACCTGAGGAAGGATCCCGATGGTCTATGTACTTTGATGGAGCTCCGAATGCTTTGGGCAATGGCATTGGCTCTGTGATCATATCTCCTAAAGGCTCTCATACTCCGTTTACCGCCCGACCATGTTTCAAATGCACCAACAATATGGCGGAGTATGAAGCGTGCATTATGAGTCTTCGAGCTGCAATTGACCTAAGGATTAAGTTTCTAAGTGTCTTCGGAGATTCCGCTCTCGTGATCAGTCAGATCAAAGGCGAGTGGGATACGAAACACCCTAATATTATTCCTTACAAGGAGTATGTATTGACGTTGCTTCCCCATTTCGAGGAGATAACCTTTGAACACTTCCCAAGAGAGGAGAATCAGTTGGCGGACGCGCTAGCTACGATGTCTTCTATGTTCAAATTCAAATGGGACAACGAGGCTCCCCGGATCATTATTGAAAGATTGGATGAACCTGCATATTGCTGTGATCTTGAGACTGAAGAGGTAACAGAAAAGCCCTGGTATCATGAGGTGAAGAGGTACCTTGAAGCTCAATGTTGTACCCCAAAATTTGCCCTCCCATTTCTCATTAACTTCTCACCACAAAGCCCTTGAAGCTCAAGATCCAGTTAGGGTTTCATCTGCTCAAGACTTCTCCTTGCACTGTTGACCCAAATTAGGGTTTGTGTTTGCACAAAGATGTTTTGACCTAAAATGCCTAAGATGACTTTCTTGCTTCATATTGGACTCCCAAGTTTATCCATATCAAGTTTCAAGTCTTGATTCCAAGTTTTTCCCAGTCAATTGGACAGTTGACCTAGAAATCAGCTGTATTGGGGAAGAAGTCAATTGTGGCCAATTGACAGTCAAACCTCATGAAAATTGACCCACATCAACATTATTAACTCATATAGACCATTTGATCAAGTTTGGATCACAATTCCACAAGAAATTTGATCAAATCACCAAAAGGGCAAAATGGTCATTTTTAGGGTTTTGACTGCACAAAGGCAATTTTTGACTGTTTGACCTAACCAATGGCAAACAAAGCTCACATATGGACTCAAGGACCCCATGGAATTATCTTGACATGCTCAACAAGTTCAAAAGATCCCAAATGCACAAGATTGACACTTGAATTTTCCAGTCAATTAATCAATTTTGACTGTATACTGAAAAGTCAAACTTTGACTTTTTGGTCAAAATCAAGAGTCAAGATCCATTTTTCATCAAAACATGCCAAATCATGAAACTTGTTCACCAGGAAATCAAAAAATGCAAATTAGGGTTAGAAATGAGAATTTTTCATAACTTAGAATTTTTCTAAGTTATGAAAAACCCTAATTTTTTTCAAACTTTGCCCCACTTTCTCACCAAGATTCATTTGGATTCAAACAAAAGTCAAAACATGAAAGTTGTAGCTTGTTGCATAATATACAACTTTTATTCACAAAGTTTTCCAAAATGAGGCTTGTATCTCAAGTTACAAATTTTTGAATAAGGGCACTAAACCATTCTTAACTTAGTGAAATTTTAACCTATTTTGGCAAGGTTTTCTACCTAACTTCAAGGCCATTTTCCATACATTTCCACTTGGAATTTCAATTTGCATTTCAAAGATGGATTGTAGTACACATTCCAAGCTTTCCAAAATGTCCAAGAACTTCTCAAACAACCTCATAACTTGAGAGAATCGAATTTCACAATATGGCAAAAACTCACTTTTGAATTGGCTATTTTCCATGTTCATAATTTGTGCAAACTTCTCAAACCAGCATGCCCCTTGATTACAGGTCCTTAAACCATCCAACACTCAATAATTTAATGCATGTTCATTGTGCTAAGGCCTTGTTTCATGAGTTCAAGCATTGCCTAAAGGATTAATCCCAAATTGGAAAAAGCATTATATCCATTTTTGCAAAAGTTTCACTTTATGTCATAATACAAATCCACAAGTACAGATGAAATCTAATTGGCACAAGATTATGAGCAAAACACTCTGATCAAGGAGAGATTATGCAGCACATTAGGGGGCCTCTACCTGCCTAGAACACAACTTGGGCATTTGTTGCTTAAAGTGTAAGTAACATTGCATTTGGTACAACAACTTGGAGATCAGCTTACAAACCCTTAAGCAAACTTTTGAAACACATTCAAGACATCCCAACTGAGCTAACACACGACCCTAAGACCTCCAGTATCTCTCCATTGCCATAATCACTCTAAAACTGCAAAAACAGGGCAGGGCCTGCAGTTTGAGTGCCATCTCTCATTCCTCTCATGCTCTCTTGCCCAAACTTGTTCAAACTCATTCCCTACCATCAATGCAAGCTAACCAAAACCTAAAACACGACCTGTAACTCCTCTAACCAGTTCCACCATTTTTGCTTTCTTGCTTTGCAGTTGAAGGTTCATAGCTCGATTCAAGGTCTTTCAAAACAAAGTAAGCATTGGAATAGAATCACCACACCTCAAGGAAGCTATACCAATCAACCTTGCACTGAAAGCTCCTCCATTGCCAGATAGAACTTCAACTGAACAGGTATTTTCTTGAACTTCTAACTCTTAGTACATGCATCATTAGCTCTAGGTTTGTGAATAAGAAATGTTCTACTCATGCCACTGAACCTGTACATGTTTTTACTTTTCATTTCTTTTGCTTGAGCTGTGAGAATTTAAGGTTTGAATATGGCAGAAAAGTTATGTCATGATTTGGGATTGTCCAAATTCTCTCTCATTTCTGAGAGTTAGGATGAGTTCTTTATATATTTGAAATCGTGATTCAATGCTTAACATTTCTTATGTTGGAAGTTTGTGCAAAAGATCAAGGAATCAGGATATTTGAATGGGAGTTCTTGCGCGCGTTTTTCTGAATAATTTGTGCAGAGGTTGAAGAAGAAGCCTCATGGGCTAGGCCAGCTTCTGTATTGCTTTTTACACCATATTTTTTATTCATACCCCCCTAAGCCCATTTGTTTGATTTTTATGATTTTTTGATCTTTCTTTTTTATTTCTGACTCATTTATTTTTGCTAATAATGTTTAAAACTTGAAAAATCATTTTTACACCATTTTTGCATTTTTTAAGTATTTATTTGTTTATATGGGCATTTATACATAAATATATATATCTATTATTATTTAGAAAATAACTAGAAAAAATAATGTAAATATATCTCACTTCTGATTTTATTTCATTTTTCCTTTTGCAAATATTTATGCAAAATATACTTTTTTTATAAATAGCAAAATATTATTATTTATATATATATATATATATATATATATATATATATATATATATATATATATATATATATATATATATATATATATATATATATATATATATATATATATATATATATATATATATATATATATATATATATATATATATATATATATTATAT